AGGGGTTTAAGCAAGACTTTTATATTTTCACATTATGTTTTTAGTGAAGATGAGCGGAGAAAAGACACTCCAGGATAGAAATTGGAGAAAAATGTTACCAGAAACACTGCTTCAAGAAAGACATGTTTAATTTCTTGAAACCTCATCTCTTACAGCTGCTCCAGACCTTTGACTGTCTTTTTGTTTTCAGTCAGCCCTGGAAATAAGGGTGTACAGGAGCATCCAAAATGTTTTTGGCCTGGAATATTTGAGTCGTTAGAGGTTTAAGGTTGATTCCAACAAATATTTGCTCATGCAGTGTGTTTTTTTTTTCTTTCAATACTTCATAACTGTTCATGACCTCTACAGCACAAGTCTTTGGTGTGCACTTTGAAGCTGCTTGTCTGTGCTGACTTGGTTTAACCCACATGTGTGAATGTTTTTGTGGCTGTTTAGTGTTTCCTCATAAACTCTTCACTCTGTTCGTCTTTTCTCCCCTTGCTCCAGAGCTACCTGAGAACTGGACTGACACTAGAGAGACTCTTCTGGAGGGAATGACCTTTAACCTTCGGCATCTGGGCATGACTCTGGTGGACCAACCCAAAGGCGAGGAGCTCTCAGCCGCTGCTGTCAAGAGGATTGTTGCCACGGTGAGTTCTGTCATTTGACATATAGCTCGGATTAAGGCTGGGGCAATAACACGATAACAATAATTATTGCAATATAATTTTCCTTGATGAAACTATAACACGAGTTCGATAAATGTTCAATATAAAGTTTATATACCAAAAGTGGAACGAAACAGTACGACTCATTTGAACTGCGCCACACAGACCGTTTATCCGCTTGGCTCAGTTCAAACGGCAGCGCAGCGTGAGCTCACTAGAGCAGATGCGTTTATTCGCTGATAAATCTCGGTCACGCGAACACTGAACAGCACTGAGATCCTGTGTGAAGCGCATGAATTCAGCAAACACAAATGACTGATTTAATGAATCATTTAAACTAGTTTTACGACAGCGCTGACAAACAGAAGAAACACTGTGCACAACAATACAGATACAAATCGCCATCATTTACCATGGATTTACTGTAGTAACACTAACTGCACCATGGTATTATGTCAGAAATGTGGGATATTCATATTGAATCTTATTATATTAAAGAAGTAATGGAATATAATTATTACAGTATTTTTTTGTGATTTAAAGGTGACATATCATGACTTTTCCAGGTTTTAAGTGCTATAATCAGGTCCCCGGTGCATCTACCAACCAAGGAAAAGTGAAAAAGATTAACCCAGTAACTTTGTTTTGGGAAGCCTTTTTCTGCAAGCGTCTGAGAAAACGAGGGCGTCAGATTTCGCTCCCTTGGTGACGTGGCAAAGGGATCTCATTATAATATTACCACCCCTTAATCTGTAAGTTTACACCCACGACGCCGTCATTGTGTTTTCGCAAGCGACAACAGTGTACTAGTTCTAATGCCATGGCGAAAGTTTGAGCAAAACATGCTAACTGTTCTGTCTTTGGCTGCACAGACGAGCACAGAACACTGTTTAGAGTCCCAACCTCAGAGGAGACAAGAGAGCAGTGGATTTAATGATTAATTTACTGTTGCTGCTGCCACACAGATCTAAAATAAACAAGCGATTTATTTCCCAGCTGTTTACCTTCACAGACATAACGACTTGTTTTTTTGTAACTCATGTGTGTTTTTAACGTATGAATGAGAACTTAGTTTAGTACTCACGTGCTGTGACAGCCGCTTTCTGTCCGTGTGATTCGGCTGTGTGCTCTCAGAAAACCGTATATCAGAAGTTTAAACTCATATGGTTTAAAACGCATGATTTCAGTGTGATAAACATGATAATCAGAACCAAAACAGATGTTTTTAGCAGGTACGAGCTGTAATGGCGCAGCTCTATTCTGGAAAAAGCTCATTTGCCATTAATGAGACACGCCCAAAAAACAGCGTGCTTCTGCTTCCACTCAAAATAGGCATTTTCAAAATGTTATAATAAATGATCAGAGGAGTATTTTGAGCTGAAACTTCACAGACACATTCTGGGGACACCAGAGACTTATATTACATATTGTAAAGAGGGGCATAATATGTCTCCTTTAATGTATTTAGACTACTGTTTCTCATACAGATACTTAGAAACCATGTAGTTACATTTTATGCCATGATATTGAGGTGATATGTGTGTTTATAAGTGTGGTTATCATGATCTAAATGTATGCTACTGTGGAAGACCAATGGTAAATTTTATAAAACTCAAACAGAATAATGAAATTTCACCATATAAAAACAGATGTTACTGTTTTTTTTTTTATAATGGTCATAAATGTACAAAAAAACAAAAACATTCTTTATACCTGTACAGCGCACACACAAAAAAGTGTGTAACTTTTAACTTTAATGTGCTATTTATATTTGATTTGACCCTTGATGTAATTAAATTATGCATAACTGTTCTGTGTGAGATTTTTTAAAATAATTTTTATATAATATAATATAGCATAATTATATATAACAGTTATCTAAACATCCCTATGTTTATAACAGTTATCTAAACATCGCTATGTTTACTACATAGGGATGTTAGACAACTATTATATATAATTATAGTTTGCACACCACTACACCTGCACTGTAAAAAAAAAATTCCGTAAAATTTACGGTAAAAAAAACAGCAGCTGTGGTTGCCGGAATTTGACCGTTAAAAAATACGGTTGCAACGTTTTACGGTTTTAACTTAAATTTACAGTTAAATACCGTA